CAGAAGACACACATTTATCTCAGGTTGGATAAACAGTTCCAGTACGAACCATGGGCTGTTTCTGAGTGGACAGAGTGTGACATCACTACAGTCTTAGTCTTTATGAAGAAACAGAAATCATAACGTGTTGACGTGTTTCTAAGACTGTTGCTAAGGAAAGCTGGAGTTTGCAGAAGAAGGAATCTGATTTGTCAAACCTTATATGGCTCAAATCTGGACTTATGCAACATAAACGGTGACTGACAGAGAGTTGGAGCAAATCTCCACCATGAGCACTTCCCTATCGAGCCTCTTTGAGCTAGCTTGTATATCTTATTCATCTGTATGCAGTATGCCATAATGAGCAATCTATATTTTTCATTACAAACTTTCACTGACTTTACTTAGACAATACAGAAGGCCTCAGGAGGACTGGAGAATATTAAGAAATCACTGAATCTCATTAACCCATTGACTGCCATTGACGTATTTGTCTGAGACCCCATATTTGACTGGGGATTACAGGACAATAAAAATAGCTAGAAACCAACTTATTTTGGTTGATGAAAGTAGACACGCCAGTCTTTCAGAATCTGGTTTCATAATTCACATAGTTTTAGTAAATAATATTCTGTGGGTTTTGAGAATCAGTGAAATCATCAAAAACGGCAGGCAGTCAATGAGTTAAACAGAATTTAGTGCAAAGCCATGTCTTGTTTTTTATTATTCAGATATTATTTAGAATTCATTATATAAATTCACCAAAGACAGACGTTTAATGTCAGAAGCGCAAAAACATGAAACTAGAGGAAGCATAAGACATATTGGATGTGAGCAATTTATTTTTTCTTTCAAATATTTATAATGATTTTGTAACCAATGGGAAACAGTTACAACTTATACATCTTGTTAGTCTGTATATTTTAGCCAATTTCCACAACCCTGCCCTACTCTACCCTACTCTACTGTACCCTACTCTACTGTACCCTACTCTACTGTACCCTACTCTACTCTGCCCTACCTACTCTACCCTGCCCACGTTCACCTGGGAATAAGTGGACCCCTATGGACACAGATTGATGTCACATTCTGTTCTTTCACGTCGTTGAGACCCTCGTCGACCGTGTGACCTCCATGGATTCTCATTTACTGTAACCCACCGACCAAAGTCACGCGGGGAAAATCAAAACCAGCGCGGCGTCGTGTAAAACCCAGCTCCGATTACAGCTACACACACAGGGCCGCTGCCTCTTTAGCCAAAGTATGAAGCCAACGGAATGCCTCAAAATAAATTCCTGTGGACAAAAGCCAAGAGAGGTGCTCTCTGCGGCGTGAAGCAACTGAACCAAGAATTTACAAAGTTAAAAACACTCACTTCTGGTAAAAGTTAAATATATAGTTGTGGTTTGTGTACACCGCATGATTAGTTCAAAGGCTCTCTCTGGCCTCTCTCTCTCTCTCTGGCCTCTCTCTCTCTCTGGCCTCTCTCTCTCTCTGGCCTCTCTCTCTCTGGCCTCTCTCTCTGGCGACACATCGCCCCTGCAATAAACTTATTTTTAAAAAGTATTCTGTCAAAATATATGAATATTGTAAAAAGTAATACAAAATAAGAAAACCATGTTTATACTTCAGCCCCCAAACAAAATGAGTTTGACTTTTCTGGTTTGTCCCATACAATGTCTAGTGGTGCATGCTTCTACCTTTCAGAGTGTTCCACAATCTTTCTGACCTTTCTGAGCCATGGCACCTTTTTCATTTAAAACAATTACCTCCTGAAAAACCACCATCACAAACTGATACAAACAAGAAAGTGCAGCCATTGGGAACAAAGTTATTCTCATCAAAGTGTATTATACAGAAAATCAAACAGAAAAAAAGGCTTTCTAATTGATAAGGATCATTCCCAACGGCACAGCAAGCAATAACTCGAGACGCACTCACATGCCACGGCCTACTGGTTAAAGATAAGATAAGATATACTTTATTGATCTCACAAAAGATAAATTTACATGTCACATCTAGCATGGATAGAAACACTCAAGATTGTGCAAAAAGAAAGACATGTGCAAACATGTTAAATGCCTGATATTTATCGAGGTAGTTCATTGTACATTTCAGAATCAGTAAAGCGCTGTCTGAGCCGAATGCATAGATGTAAATATCAGACCTGAGGAGAGCTGGTCCTGTTTGGATCCTGATCAAAGCCAAAGCCGTGAATCCCTGAAGAGCATTCGTATCCAGCGACAAATCACTGACAAATCACTGACACGACCACTGCCTTTGTTCCCCGTCGATGAAAGCTCCAATATCGGCCTCCACAAACATGACAACTCCCCTCAGGCACTGTTCTGACTGGGATTCGAACACAGGACCTTCTTGCTGAGAAACGAGAGCGCTAACCACTCAGCCACTGGCCAATCACCCTGTAAATGACTTGACCATAACATACAAGTCGTTACAGATATTTACTCAAAACACTGTATTTACGGTTTAAATAACAAATTACAGATCTCAGACATTTCTAAACTAGATTTTAAAATTCTCTTTCCTTTAGAAACAAGACAGTTTAACCTTCTTTCTCCAAAACTGATATTACACGCCGCTTCTTAGTGCCAGACCCACAGTAAATCTGTTTTCTGAGCTCCCATTTGGATGTAATGAGACCAGGGGCCCCTCTCGCAGCACGGGGCCCTTTACCGTTTCAGAACCCCGTGAAACCCAATCACAGTTTTTTCTCTTTCCAAATCTCGAGACACACAGACGCAATCGGACACCAGGATCAATACGTCATGGTAGCAAACAGAGACAGTCCTGGTCCAGAACCCAGACCCTGCATCCCAGACCCCACACCCGAGACCCCCGCCTGCCGTGGGCTATAACAGTTTGAACGACAAGGACATGACCTCAGCTTCACATCTGCCGGTGACATCAGCGAAGAAAAACACAAAAAATATCAAAACAAGATTTCCCTCAGTCTCTGTGTGCATGACTGTGTGTGTCTGTGTATAAGCATATATAACTGTGTGCGACTGGGAGTGTGTGTATGTGTGTAACTGTGTGTTACTGTGAGACAGTGTGTGTAACTGTGTTTCTGTGTGTTTATGTATGCTTAAAGCGGAGGTATTTCAAACAAAATAAAAATTAACAAACCCAAACCATCACCAAGTTCAAAGCTCTAAAGCAAGCATGTCTGAACTAACAGGGTCATTCAGCCAACTTCAGCTTCACCAACATATGACTGCTGTACCTTGTTGCAGAGCTCAGAACCTCTAGAATCCATGTATCTGTACAGACAGACTGGGGTTTCCATCAACCCACAAACCAAGCGACATACTTTCAATCAGGAAGCCTAGTCATCTGAAGAAATGCAACGCTTTCACTGATAATTTCACGTCTGGCACCGACTTTCATAAGACCTAGTGTTGTGAATGGGTTTCCTCTGGAGCCGTTTCTTGTGGGTAAATAGCTGAAAATCTCCACCTCTGCCCATCTTAACGTCCACATTCATCTTTCATGCAATAAACGGTAGGAGCCTGATGAACGAGACCTTTGTGCAATCAGATCAATGTAAAAGACAAGACCAGGAAGTCACACACAATCTAATCAGAGCATCATAGACTGTGCCAAACCTGTTGTGATGGGGACTTCTACAATAACCACAACGAGAAACCAACTGGAAAACATGAAGACCTCCGTCTATTTTTTATCCTGAATTCCACCACAAAAGCCTGTTATGAGTGACAATAGTGAAAGCTAGAAACCGCCCACCCAACTTTCCTTGACCTTCACACAGGCGATAACATCCCCGGCAGTTAGATAATTTGGCTGTGGACTTGCACAAGAGCCCAGAGCACCGCAGCCTGCCACCAGGAAGGGCACGCAGGCTCCAGTCAGGCACTAACTCAATTGAGGCCAAAATCTCATTTGTACTGACGGGCTGTAGAGGGGCCCCACAGACCGTCAGACCCCAGTGTGACATGCAGTGGATTAGATCTACTCGGTCTTGTAGTTACTGAGCATCTGCTTCGTCCAACCCGTTATCAAACCAGTATTAGTGTAAAGATATGTGCAATTGTGTTCTGCAGGATTGAAATAGATCTAACTAAATATCTGTGGATTAATAACATGCAAACCCATAATCTACAACAAGACGTAAATCAAAAACACATTTGGGATTACATAAACAATACTAGTTTGATAGTGACATTTATGGACCGGTATCATCCCGCTCCCTAATGATCCAATGGTTCCTATGTTATTATTGCATTACCTGCCTCCCTACAGGTCTGTTCGATTCTCTGATTTGGTCTTGGTGAATCAACAACTTTGCCATCGTCTCCACTCCCCAGAGACAAATGCTATACTAGTTATTTAGGGCGATGCACAAATACATTGAACCGTGTCAGACAGAGATTCGAACCCAAGACCCTCTTGCTGAGAAGCCCGAGTGCTTGTCACTCAGCCAAACTAGTATAGAAACTACTCATTTCAGAAAGTATCAATACTGAACGAGATTGCACAAGATAGAATGTGCAGTTTCTGGCAACAAACGTGCATTTCTCTATTGGAATGTATCCTTTTGGTGCCTTGACAATAAGACACATCTCTTGCACGAGCAATTCTTGGTTTATTCTGGAAATACAGGATTGGTTTTGGACCCAGTCTTGGTAAAAACTCGTCTGTCTCCTGCTTCATCATAGTTTATAGTTAATAATAATATATTATTGCTCTTGTATTGCACACAACAGATATTTTTCAAGCCCTGTTGTCAGACCACGTTGGCACAGTGCTGTAGAGTCCTGGTTTAATCCCAGCCCGTGCCCTGATTTACCCCACATCCACGCACGCATCCTACATCTTTACGCGTGACGCAGACATGGCACCACACGAAAATGGCAGTCGACCCCCCATTCCAATACACACAAGCACGCAGATACAAACAGAATGAGAGACACACACACGCATGCACACAATAGAGACACGCATGCACACAATAGAGACACACATGTATTTGCACCCACCTGAAGAGCACGATATTAGGAACACGGCGATGGCCAGTTTGGTAGCGTTCCCCATTTTCCATCCGAGTGAAATCTCGTATCTCTGCGTACAAGTCCAAACACAATTTTATCTTATGGCACTACGCGTCTGCTTGAAAGCGACATGTTAAAAAAAGATCAATAAAAGATTAAAAAATAAAATAAATCCAAAATATCCAGGGATCGAAATGGGTATGTGTCCAGTGGCCCAGGAAGAGGCCTCGAAACGGGGAGCGGGGGGGGAGCAGGGTGCTTGGTATGCCCGCGGTTTACGCACGGCTGCTGGGAGAGAACTTGTTGGTATTTGGGCTAAGGTATGAACAGTCTTGTAGTAGTCCCAGCCGAGGCATTGTCATCGCGTTTGTGTGCGTAAAAACAATGGTGATTGCTGGATCCAACCACCACCTGGTCCACCACCACAACCACAACCACCGCGGCAGCTAGTTCACTTCACCCGGGATAGGGCTAACATCCATCGGCCTCTAGAAGGAGACACACCGCTGTAGGATCCAGGCGCATAGCTCTGCTCACACAACAAAGCGACACGTTATGCATGTGCAAAAATCCAGCTGTATTGCTTTTATCTATATTTTTTATCTATTTGAATTTATATTGTTGCTATTATTGTATTTTCTGCGTCTCTTAGAGCAAGCGCAGACGGAAAGGAAGACGTTCTGGCGCCTGCTCCCAAAGTCACGCAAGCCTCGTCCCGTGGGTCCGCGAGAAGAACGACGGGGGAAAAAACGGGCAAAAACAATACAAAATAAAAACCCTGCAACGGAGATTTACGTCCACTGCTGTTAATGTCTCTGCAGGGGGAGTACTGGTCGCAGGCTGAAGGCAGGCTTTTCCTCCGCTGGTCCCCGTCTCTGCTCCTCGTCTTCTCCGCTCGGGACGATTTCAAGATGGCGACTGGGAGAAGCGTCAAGCTGGAGGCGCTCGCGGCCACTTCCGGTTTACGAAAGAGACACGAGCGGAATTTTTGGGTTTGAGTGATTGATTGTTTTGTTGTTTGTTGTTTTGAGGAGGGGGATGTGTGTGAAATGTTCATACACAGACGGACCTGCTTAGCCCGTACATGTCGTTCATCACTCACACTGCAATTTCAGAGCGTTTACCTGACTCTGCTCTACTCTACTCTACTCTATTCTACTGTACTCTACTCTATTCTACTGTACTCTACTCTGCTCTACTCTACTCTACTCTACTCTACTCTACTCTATTCTATTGTACTCTACTTTATTCTACTCTACTGTATTCTACTCTACTCCATTCTACTCTGCTCTGGTCTACGCTACTGTACTCTACTGTACTCTACTGTACTCTACTATACTCCATTCTATTCTGCTCTACACTACTGTACTCTACTCTGCTCTACTGTACTGTACTCTACTCTGCTCTGTTTTACTATACTCTATACTCTGCTCTACCTTTACTCTACTCTACTCTTCTTTGCTCTGCTCTGTTGTACTCAACTCTACTCTAGTCTATTCTATACTCTACTCTACTCCATTCTACTCTACTCTGCTCTACGCTACTGTACTCTCCTCTGCTCTACTGTACTGTACTGTACTGTACTCTGCTCTGTTTTACTCTACTCTATACTCTACTGTACTCCATTCTACTCCGCTCTACTCTGCTCTACGCTACTGTACTCTACTCTGCTCTGTTTTACTCTACTCTATACTCTGCTCTACCTTTACTCTACTCTTCTTTGCTCTGCTCTGTTGTACTCAACTCTACTCTAGTCTATTCTATACTCTACTCTACTCCATTCTACTCTACTCTGCTCTACGCTACTGTACTCTCCTCTGCTCTACTGTACTGTACTGTACTGTACTGTACTCAGCTCTGTTTTACTCTACTCTATACTCTACTCTACTGTACTCCATTCTACTCCGCTCTACTCTGCTCTACGCTACTGTACTCTACTCTGCTCTGTTTTACTATACTCTATACTCTGCTCTACCTTTACTCTACTCAACTCTTCTTTGCTCTGCTCTGTTGTACTCAACTCTACTCTAGTCTATTCTATAATCTACTCTACTCCATTCTACTACTCTGCTCTACGCTACTGTACTTTACTCTGCTCTACTGTACTCTACTCTACTCTAATGCACTCTACTCTGCTCTGTTTTACTTTACTCTACTCTATACTCTGCTCTACTCTACTCTAATCTACTCTACTCTACTCTACTCTATTCTTCTCTGCTCTGCTCTGCTTTACTCTACTCCAGTTGGGAGTGTTTCCACCGACCCTCCCCAGTTCTAGGTCCTAATGACCCTGGTTCAACCCAGGCCAACTAGAGTAGAGTAGAGTATGAAGAGAAGAAAAAAGAAGAGTAGAATGGAATCAGAATTATTTTTATTGCCATTGTAAGGAACATAAAATCAAAAGATATTAATGCTTAGCTGTGAATGCTTTTTAATATCAAACATAATACAATCAATAGTGTTTAGGCTCAATTACAAGCATTTTTTTGCTTCTGTGTCATGTATGTTTTATGTTTAAAAAATCAAACGTCAATGTCTTTTATTTTGAAGCCTAGTCTCCTTTCTCCCCTGCGCGCTCCCGTAGGCTTCACCGCGGTCCTCTCCGGGTCCGCTCGCCTAGGATCGGATTGTTTTTGTTCGTGGTGTATGTTTGTTTTACTCTACAGCGTGCGCTCGCATTCAGTAGAGAGAGGGGCGGGGCCTGTCTTTATCCAATCCGCTGAAACCTGACTCTCCCTGTGTGCGCTGCGGCCCCACAAACCCAACGCGACAAAGAAGGAATCTGCTACTATGAGTTTTTTTGATGTTCTGTAATATTTAACTGTGTAGAGGTGGGGGAGAGGGGGAGAGGGGGAGAGGGGGTCTATCCATATTTTAAAAGCCTGTTCTATGTAGGTCAACGCCTCAAATAGTCAGCAATGGGAGAACACTTTGAATATGTTTATAAGTCACCAAATACCTGTATTAAAATGTAAAGTATTCAACATGGTTCAGGTGTATTTCGAAGGTTGGATTTCTTACTGGTCGATTAACACATATTATTATCGACCTGTCATAACATTAAGATTAAGACTATAGAGATCCTTGATTCGTCACACAGTGGGGAAATTTCAGTGTTGCAGCATAAGTTACAGACAGTGGAAATAAGGATAGCATAGATACATGAATAATAACTACACTAAAATAAGATCAAATAAAATGTCTAGCTGGAGCATAGAAAGTAGTAGCATAAAAATCTCCCTTTTTAGCATCATCAGGAAAGTAGTCTATTATCTCCAACTTTAAGATAATGAAGAAGCAAGAATAGATACTGTATATTCTAGTGTAAGGAATACATAGAATACAATATACACTCTGAGAATAAGACAGTTTTGCTTTTGCAGAATGTTATGTCATATAAACTAGCTGCAGCCAATTTCCTTATATGGGCATTTGTTCTGACGGTGTTAGCTTTGCATCGTAACGGGGGTGGATGTGTTGCTAAGACAGTTGCTGAGGTACGGCAGGCTGTAGTTTCTCCCTGAATATGAAGGCATCTGACTGGTTGACCTTATATGACTCATATCTGGATTTAATAAGATAATATCACAACATACCAGGATCACAGAGGGCGACAAACCAACATAAGGCCAAAATGGTGAGTTTGACACAAGTTTACTGAGCGAGAGGTCAGAAATGTAGGAGTAATACTGGACTCAGACTTACATTTTAACAGCCACATCAAATCAGTAACATCAGCAGCTTTTATCCACCTAAAAATCGTTGCCAGGATCAAAAACATAGTGTCTAAAGCAGACTTGGAGATTCTTATCCATGCATTTGTCTCCAGTAGGTTAGACTACTGTAATGGCCATGCTCACAGGTCTCGAGTCCTGACTAGAACCAGGAAGTATGATCACATTAGTCCAGTCCTCTGCACTGGCTTCCTGTGGCCCAGAGAATTGAACGGTCTCTCCATGGCCTCACACCAAAGTACATTAGTCACATGTTAGTGCAACATCAACCAACTCAGACTCTGAGGAGCACAGGGACAAGACTCCTCCTGCTGGTCCCAGACTCAAAACTAATCATGAGGAGGCTGCATTTCAGGCTTCCTCTCTGACAACGTTAAAAACAGTTCTTTTTAGCTGAACATTCAACTGACAGATTGTATATTTTTTCTTTTTAATGTACTGTGATTATTTATGATTTGAATGCCTCGTATGACTTTTGTTCAGTTGCCTTGAGTATGAATTGTGCTGTACAAATAAACATGCCTTGCCTTAGAGGATTTGACTTTTACATGTCAGTCAATAGGAGCCAGAGTGAGCCAAACTTTACCATGAGCACTTCCCTACTGGGCTTCATTGAGCGAGCAGGTTAGTATCTCCCACCTATATACAGTCTCCCATGTATATATAGTCTCCCATCTACAGTCTCCCATCTATATACAGTCTCAGTCCTGATATAGACCTGACCCACTCACAATCTCAGGCGTGACACTGATCTCAGGCAACAACAGCCCACAGAGGATCTGGACCCATAAGCCTCGGGGCGATGCCATTATGAGGTCAGAGTTTACAGAGGGATTTGTTAGCAGCTGAGTCACCTGTCCCGTTATATAGGTCTCTGTACAGGTCCTATCTGAGCCCTGTGGGAGTCACGGGTCGGTCCCAGAGAAGATGGAACTGCGGTCCCCGGGTTATCAGAGGTGGCATTCTGACAGGCAGAAGGGGCAGGCGTCACTATGGTGTATTTGTTTTCTATTTTTAAGAGTAGGTCAAACGGAAATGTTTGGACTTGTGTGACATTGATGCTGGGATATTGTATTTCCATTTTAGATTCAGATTCATTTATTTGTCATTTGCAGTAAAACCACATTGGAAAAACTGTGCAAGACTACCCCTGTGTGCACCAGACGACACACACCAGAGCTCTTGCCACGGCGACATCTTTAGTTGTGCGCACTGGGGACTTTTGCAGGTGTATTCCAATGTGGTTTTACTGCTAAGAGCAAATAAATGAATCTGAACAGAAGAAGACATGAACCACCCACAATCAGCTCTCACTATTTTACCCCAAAGAGTTTTTTGATGATAATGACGTCATGTTGTGGTCTTTCTTTAGTCCCACAATGTATTATTTAGGTACCTCAACTTTAATATGACATTGAAAACCATCCATAAGGAATTGTAAATATGTGTATAGTTTCTCTCCAGAAAAAAAGTCTTTATGATAATAATTTCCACTATTTTATCCATCCATCCATTTTCCTCTGCTTTGTTGCCTGGTTGTGGGGGTCAAAGGAGAGACCCCACACACACTTCTTCCAGCTCATCTGGGGGAATCCTGAGGTGTTCCCAGGCCGGTGGAGAGACAGCGTGTCCTGAGTCTCACCCTGGTCTTCTCTCGGTGGCATCCCAAACACATGCCTGTTTGCACAATCTCTCTGTGTATCTGTATCTATCTATCTACGTATCTATCTATCTATCATCCATCCATCCATCCATCTATCTATATATCTATATATCTTATCTATCTTATCTGTCTCTCTCTCTCTCTATCTATCCATCTTATAATTTTTGTCCGTATCATGAAGTGAGGAATGCTGATCTGGCACCCCGCATCAGCCTTCTATTAAAGGCAACCGACATCCTTTCTCTCATCCTTTCTCTCATCTTCACTCTCATCCTTTCATGCATACATGCATACATGCATACATGCATACATACATACATACTGTACATGCATACATACATGCATACAAGCATACATGCATACATACTGTACATGCATACATACATACATACAAGCATACATGCATACATGCATACATACATACATGTACATTGGTTGGGGCTTTGATGTCACTTTTGTCATCATCGTGTGGAGAGAATAAAACAATATCTTGTAAAGCGCTTTGGGTGACCTTGGTCTGTAAAAATACAGACCAAGGATTACTACTTACTTACTCTCATCCTCACTCGTCTCTGAAGCACCTACAACTATCATCCAAACACACTGAGCATCCTCACAGACCGAGCCCTTCCTGCACATGGTCCCTGCTCTGCACATGGTCCCTGCTCTGGGCCTGCTGACCAAGTGAAGCCAGTATCTCATTAGTTCACTTGAGCGACCCGGGGCAGAGCGACCGTGCAGGTGACTACAGATCATGAAAGATTCAGCAGAGTTTCTCATGTCATCTGCAGCACATCACGCACATGTCTCAGGACTGAGGCTGTAGACCCAGGACTGCGGCTGTAGATCCAGAACGCAGGCTGTAGAACCAAGACTGAGGCTGTAGACCCAGGACTGAGAATGTAGACCCAGGACTGAGGCTTTAGATCCAGGACTGAGGCTGTAGATCCAGGACTGAGATCCAAGACTGGGCCTGTAGACCCAGGACTGAGACTCTAGACCCAGAACTGAGGCTGTAGATTTAGGACAGAGATCCAAGACTGAGGCTATAGATCCAGGACTGAGGCTGTAGATCCAGGACTGAGGCTGTAGACCCAGGACTGAAGGCTGTAGACCCAGGACTGAGGTTGTAGACCCAGGACTGAGGCTGTAGACCCAGGACTGCGGCTGTAGACCCAGGACACCTGAATCACAGAGCGAGAATGTGCTGTCTGTATTGTATTGTGTTATTTTGTATTGTATTATATGTTGTCATTTCTTATATATTTTCCTGCCTAGGGACTACGGATAAAAACTAGCTTGGTAGCTATAATCCGGCATATTTACATTAGTTTTATACTAATGTTCTTTAATGTGCATTGTCTCGATCAAAAAAAAAAAAAAAAAAAAAGATAAACCACATATTTAAGCCCAAAATGCTGAGTGTGACACAGACGGTCACTGAGGTAGAGGAGTTACTTTTACATGTGAGTCAGTAGGAGCCAGAGCGAGTTGCAGCCAAACTTCACCTTGAGCCCTTCCCTATCGCCTCATCTAGCTAGCGCATTAGCATCGTCCATCTGTACACAGCCTTCGGTCCGTGCACGCACACTGCAGCATCATGCTAAATAATCTCTGTCACGTGTAATGCCATTATGCTGGATTAGGCCTGGGATTGTGGAATAATGAGATTAAACGCACACACATTCCTCTGAAGTAGCTCAGTGTGTTGAGGCCATGACAGGTTGAAGGTTCCATCCCGTAGAGTGTGTAATGAGCAAGGCACTTAACCAGCCCTGAACCTTTGAGTTTGGTAGGGAGGTTATTAAATGCCGAAGATGGGGGGCCTGACTATTTTAGAGTTAGATATAGGGTTTCTCAACTTTTTTCTCATTGGGTTTTTCAGTGGTTCCTCTCTGATGCAGGAGAGTCTAAGGACAGTGATGATCCGGGACATTTCTGCACATTTATTAACCTTTCCGGACAGTGGTCGTCTCTATGGACCAAAGGTTTCAATGTGTTTGTTTGATTCTCTGATCTGTTGTTGGTAAATGTATTCTCGTATAGCCTTACAAATGTAGTTTACCCGGAGGATGTTACAAAAGCGTTGAATTGGCCAAGATAGATCAGAGAATCAACAGGATATGCATTAATAAAAACACACAGAGCCGTCGGTCCATAAAGGGCAGAGACCAATGTCCATAAATCGGGAGTGAATCAAGTTTATATAAATAAACTCGACTGAAACGATGGTTCTTCTGCACCGCTACAGTGATGGCCGACTTCTCCCTCGGCTCTGGCCCAGTTCCAGTCCCTGCTGCGTCTGTTAGACATGATTTATGGTGGCGCCGGACTGTTCCCGCCACGGTGCCTCTCGCCTCCATACATCTTGAGCGCTGTTCGCCGCTCGGTGCCACATGTGCACCTGTAACCAAAGGCCACGGTGCACAGCGGCCTCATTACTGCGCTCACGGGGGCACCCAGCTGCTCCGCTGTCCTCACCCGACCCGCAGCCAGGACCGCCCCTGCCCCACGCTCCAGCACCTCGCTCCAGCACCTCGCTCCAGCACCGCGCTCCTGGGTGGTGAGTCATGCACTGAGGTGGTTTCAGGTCAGACCGAGCCCAAGCTGAAGCAGGTCAGTGCCACATAACAAGTCTAAAACCAGGACCTGAACCAGGATCTGAACCAGGACCTGAACCAGGACCTGAACCAGGACCTGAACCAGGATCTGAACCAGGATCTGAACCAGGATCTGAACCAGGAGCTGAACCAGGATCTGAACCTGGATCTGAACCTATCTCCTCTACACTCTGTAGGCCTTAAATAAAAAAAAAGTAAAAAAAAGAGATTATAGCAGGAATGGCAACACTGAAACAGAATCAGATTATTTGTATTGCTAGAAACTCTACATACATGATTTTCATAAAGCTATCTGGTGTTTATTAGATCAAAACAAACTAGGAATTTGCTTTGGCTCAAGGTGCAAATTTTGATTTATTTATTTATTTGTCAGGGACAGTACAAAAAAACATCACAGCACACTCACAGCAAAGGAAGGTTTCTCACCCATCATCTGTACTTCTTAGCAGGTTTTCACAACATTTTGTCCTTCATCTAAAGGTCATCTTCACGGACTTCTTCATTCCCTTGAAGAAGTCCTTTAGATGAAGGACGAACCGTGCTTCATCCAAAGGACGTACAGATGATGGGTGAGAAACCTTCCTTTGCTTTGACTAAACCCTGTACGACTGAGAGCTTACACAAACTTGCCATACACAGGTAACCGATGTTAAGAGAGTAGAACACTTCTGATTTACCTTAAGCCACTTTTTCTGGTTCAAGTTTTCAAAATAGGTAAAGGCATGCATACAGAAATCTTCATCATAGGTATTAGAATTACTATCATAAAGATGCACTAAGTACACACAATAGACATGTTTTTTCATATAATTATAAACATATAGACGCACACACGCACACACACACACACACACACCTCCTGCATCAGAATGGAACCACTGAAACCCAGCGCGTCCGGGGCCCACTCCAGTGAAGGACTTTCTGACCGCTCACTGCTGACCCTCTGCTTTATGTAAATATGACCTTTTCTCCGTGCGTCTCCTGTTCTCCCTCTCAGCATTTCGTCTGAGCCTTTTTCACAAAACCACAGCGTGTTCAGCCAAACGCCACTGCGAAACGGGAGGCTGAGGAAAGGCTGCCAGTGTCTCAGAGCACAGGATTGGGTGGCAGACAGGACTGCAGTGGTATCTGTAATCTACACTCGAGAAGACAGTGTCATTTTTTCATAACTTGACTGAACTTACTCCTGAATCTCAAAGCCAAAACATCTATACATTTCTCCCTACAGTTTTAACATTGATCACCCATGCTTTAAGGTCACAACTAGAGTATGAAGTGGTTAGCCCTGCTTCTAAATGCATTAACAGCGAGACACATTTCTACCCATGTGGCTGAGATCAGAAGGGTGTGGTGGCTGGCGACGTGTTTCTATATTATTTTAAACTGTTTTGAAGAGCAAATATTGCATCTGCAAATAAATAATTTTCTTGAATGACATCAAATGAGGTGGGTTTCCTCTGGGCGCTCCGGTTTCTGCAATACCCATAATACAGCAGGTGATGAAGAAACCTATAGGTAAAATCCTCCAGCAAGAGCAAGAGAAGTTGTGACTAAGCCTCTAGAGATGGATCCAAATGCAGAGACAGATTTTCCTATTAAAGCTCGGCGATCTAACTTTTTGTTTCATATGCAAATAAACAGTAAGGTGATGTCACACTCCGTTGGTCCACTCCTAATGTAAGGACTATGGAGCTGATTGGCTGAGTGAGGGTGGTATTCTCTGGATCACTTTTCTGACTGCAAAAGCTGACGCAAAGAGGCCCAAAAAAAGAAAAAATACTTTATTGCTATAGTTCCCTTGTTGTGGTGATTTGAAAGTTACGTATCTCAGCTTTAATGGGTGAATAAGGGTTAAGGTTCTGCTTCGGATCAGAGCAGACCGTACAAACCGGTGGAAAACCATGAGCTCTCATTCGGACCAGACCTGTGTGTAGTCACAGTTACAGTTACAGTGGTCTCTGAGTCTCTCTCGGACCAAACAGAACAGTGGTCCCAGCAGCAGATGGCCTCCACTCCCACAATGCACCAGGGCGAGTGGGAGTGGGACAGAGCCGGTCTCCACCTGGGGATGTCATTCAACCACCATTTATGCCCCGTCTGCTCTACTCTACTCTACTCTACTCTACTCTACTCTACTCTACACTGTTTCGATGTCTCTATATGGACTATACTGTATTTACAATCTGTATGGGACGTTTTATCTTTAGTGCAAGTTTGAAAACACAAAAGCCACTCACTGCCACTGTGATCAAAGAGAGCAGAGAGGAGAGAGAGAGAGAGCAGAGAGAAACAGCAGAGATAGCAAAAAGTGAGAGAGCAGAGAGACCAGAGAGAGAGAGAGACAGAGCAGAGATACCAAAAAGAGAGAGAACAGAGAGAGAGCAGAGAGAGGAGAGAGAGAGAGAGACAGAGCAGAGATACCAAAAAGAGAGAGAACAGAGAGAGAGGAGAGAGAGAGAGAGAGAGAGAGCAACAGGGCAGAGATAGCAAGCAGAGAGAGAGAGAGAGAGAGCGAGCAGAGAGAGAGCAGAGAGAGAGCAGAGAGAGAGCAGAGAGACCAGAGAGAGAGCAGAGAGAGAGCAGAGAGAGAGCAGAGAGAGAAGAGAGAGAGCGGCAACAGAGCAGAGATAGCAAGAAGAGAGAGAGCATAGAGAGAGAGCATAGAGAGAGAGAGAAACAGAGCAGAGATTCAAAAAGAGAGAGAGCAGAGAGAGAGAGAGCAACAGAGCAGAGATAGCAAGAAGAGAGAGAGCATAGAGAGAGCATAGAGAGAGCAGAGAGAGAGATAGAAACAGAGCAGAGATTCAAAAGGAGAGAGAGCAGAGAGAGAGAGCATAGAGAGAGCAGAGAGAGAGCAAAAAGAGAGAGAGAGCAGAGAGACCAGAGAGAGAGCAGAGAGAGAAGAGTGAGTGAGAGCAACAGAGCAGAGATAGCAAGAAGAGAGAGAGCATAGAGAGAGCATAGAGAGAGCAGAGAGAGAGCAGAGAGAGAGAGAGAAACAGAGAAGAGATAGCAAAAAGAGAGAGAGCAGAGAGAGAGAGCATAGAGAGAGCAGAGAGAGAGAGAGAAGCAGAGCAGAGATAGCAAAAAGAGAGAGAGCAGAGAGAGAGAGGAAGATAGAGAGAGAGTAGAGAGAGAGCGAAAGAGAGCAGAGATAGCAAAAAGAGAGAGAGAGAGCAGGGAATGAGAGCAGAGGGAGCTGTGAGAGAGAAAAGAGAGAGAAAAAGAACAGAGAGCAGAGAGAGAACAGAGAGAGTAGCAGAGATAAAAAAGCAGAGACAGAGAGAGCAGTGAGAGAGAGAACAGACTAAGAGAGAGAGAGAGCAGAAAAAGTAGAGAAACCAAAGTGAGAGCAGAGAGAGAGAGAGAGAGAGCACCGTCGCTGTAGCTGCACAGAGCGCCCTTGTGTGGCACTGGTTTTGGAACAGAACTCCTGGCATTTCCCCGGCTGTGGGGGTGGTAGCACATGGAGGGGAGGGGGCTGTGACATCAGCTGCTGGCGCCACTAATCTGGGCCGTATCTCCGAGCTTGCATTCCCTCCTCGTGCTCCAAAACACTGCACGGTACACACGCTACACACGCTAATAGAAACCCCCCAAGCTGGGCCTGCGACGGACCTCTCTTATCTCTCTACGCTCATGGATTGGGTTCCAGCTTTGCCCTCATTGAAACGACCAGATAACGATTACAGACATCGCCATGTCTGCGGGGTCACCTAATGTAGTAAGAGAGAGAGCAGAGAGAGAGCAGAGAGAGAGTAGAGAGAGTGGAGGGAGTGGAGATAGAGCAGAGAGAGTGGAAAGAGAGCAGAGAGAGAGCAGAGAGAGACAGTACAGAGAGAGCGATCAGAGAGAGAGCAGAGAGAGAGCGATCAGAGAGAGAGCAGAGAAAGAGCGATCAGAGAGAGAGTAGAGCGAGCGGAGAGAGAGTAGAGCGATCAGAGAGAGAGCAGAGAGAGTGGAGAGAGCAGAGAGAGAGTAGAGAGAGCAGAGAGAGTGGAGAGAGAGCAGAGAGAGAGAGACAGTAGAGAGAGCGATCAGAGAGAGAGCAGAGAGAGCAAAGACAAAGCAGAGACAGAAGAGAGTGCAAAGATAGAGAGAGGAGAAAGAAAAGCAGAGAGAGAGCAAGCAGAGAGAGCAGAGAAAGAGAGCCGTGAGAGACCAGTCTAGTTTAGCCGCTGTGGACTTCAGAATACACTCATTAAATGCATGGGGGTGGTGATAATCGCGGCTCCATCCGTTCATATTCACAGTTTGTGTTTGGGACTGGAATAGAGACCTTCTCTTTTAACGCCGCCATCCCTCACCGACAAACTGTACTCAGGCGGTAACCATAGCAACTTGAAGTCTACGGGAACAATCTCCTGAAATATATCTATATCTGTTCTATCTATCATTCACAGCTAGAAACAGACAGGATTCCTGGGTCTACAGCCTCAGTCCTGGGTCTGCAGCCTCAGTCCTGGGTCTACAGCCTCAGTCCTGGGTCTACAGCCTCAGTCCTGGATCTACAGCCTCAGTCCTGGATCTGCAGCCTCAGTCCTGGATCTACAGCCTCAGTCCTGGATCTACAGCCTCAGTCCTGGATCTGCAGCCTCAGTCCTGGGTCTACAGCCTCAGTCCTGGGTCTACAGCCTCAGTCCTGGGTCTACAGCCTCAGTCCTAGATCTACAGCCTCAGTCCTGGATCTACAGCCTCAGTCCTGGATCTACAGCCTCAGTCCTGGATCTGCAGCCTCAGTCCTGGGTCTACAGCCTCAGTCCTGGATCTACAGCCTCAGTCCTGGATCAACAGCCTCAGTCCTGGATCTACAGCCTCAGTCCTGGGTCTACAGCCTCAGTCCTAGATCTACAGCCTCAGTCCTGGATCTACAGCCTCAGTCCTGGATCCACAGCCTCAGTCCTGGGTCTACAGCCTCAGTCCTGGATCCACAGCCTCAGTCCTGGATCCACAGCCTCAGTCCTGGGTCTACAGCCTCAGTCCTGGATCCACAGCCTCAGTCCTGGGTCTACAGCCTCAGTCCTGGTACAGTGATATAGTATGGTATAGTTTAAATGCATATCTCCACAGACGTCTGCTTGTGCCTCGACATTTTGTCTATACTTCAGCTCCTTCAGGCCTTTGCTGCATCTTTTCACCGACCGCACAATCTGTGAACTTCAAAAACAAGTGACATAATCCAAAGGAAACGATGGTGTAACTTTGGGAACGCAGAATGTGCTCTAGCTCAGCTCTCTGCCAAAGCGAAGGCTCCGTGTGAAAGCGCCATCTCGTCCAACAACAATCGGAGCCAGAACCCTACGCTGTCTGCTCTCTCCTGCGTGTGCATGAGAAAACACGGCCAAGATTAAGATTAAGATTAAGACATCGGTTTTTTTTGTGCCACTTTGGGGAACAGTAGGAATGGGGAGTGAAGAAGATGACATGGTCTGGGATCGCGTCTTACATTCAGACAGAAGACATGTTTTATTGTCGATGGCAGAGACAGCACGAACAAAGCACACGATCACAGATACAAGAGAATGCAAGTGTATTATACAGAGCGGAGGCATGGAGACCTCCAATCAGCAGCTGCCACGGTGTGCTTAGCTTGGCCTTCAGATAGACAAAACAAGGGAAAAGTACTGGCTTCTGCACATTGATAGAATGATGAGTTTAACTTTAACAAAAGTTGCTTCAAAGTGTTATGAAATCTCACATTCCCCCCTCTGGTCATACATTCACGTGTGACCATCAGGATCGATAAACAGCAACATAACATCATATCTCAATACTTCAAAAACTCATAAACTCGGTACTTCACTCGGTACCTCAAAAAACTCAGAACTCGGAATACTTCAAAAACTCAGAAAACTCATAAAACATTTTCAGATCTTTCATAAAACTTGTCAACAATCTTCAGTAAAATACCAAACTTCATCAGTCGATGGTGATTCCAGATATTGCTTTGAAAACAGTCTCTCCCACTTCTCCGTGTTGATTCTTCAGGCTGCATTTGTGTCGAGCCATGAATTCTTCTGTGACGTGTCTTTCAATCACACGTTTCAGCTTCAGTGTCCAGATTCAGCAATCCAATTCAGTCCAAATTATGTCCAAATTCAGAAATCCAATTGTTCCAAATTATGTCCATGCAAAAGAGGACGCTGGTGTTGTCCATGTCTCAGCAGCTCACAGCAGGTCTGAGTGGAGTCAGGAGCTGTGCAGATTTGTTTTGGCTTAAAAAAAAACACTTTTTGTGTAAAAAAAAAGAGTCTTCTGTTCTCTAGATGTTACAGACAAGGCCCGCATCCTTCCACCACCTGAAGAAGATGACATAGTCTGGGATCGCGTCTTACATTCAGACAGAAGACATGTTTTATTGTCGATGGTAGAGACAGCACGAACAAAGCACACGATCACAGATACAAGAGAATGCAAGTGTATTATACAGAGCGGAGGCATGGAGACCTCCAATCAGCAGCTGCCACGGTGTGCTTAGCTTGGCCTTCAGATAGACAAAACAAGGGAAAAGTACTGGCTTCTGCACATTGATAGAATGATGAGTTTAACTTTAACAAAAGTTGCTTCAAAGTGTTATGAAATCTCACAGGAGCACACAAAACAAATGAACAAAAACTCAATACTAAATGAAAAAAAAAAAAAAAATCTCTATCTTTAACACAGTGGGTACAAAAACACTGACTTTATCTTAATAAAGAAGTATAACATCTCTACCTTGATGAAAAATAAGTCCAAAAATGCTTAAATTTTGCTTAAAATCAGCACATTTTGACTGCGGCTAAAGTCTAGATTTGCAGATGGGACAAAAACAAAATGAAAAAAAAAAATAAACATCTCCCTTGAAATGAGAGAATAAAGCAACAGTTCTGAGAATAAGACTAAATGGCTTTGTCCCGTTGGAGAATCTAGTTTTAAAACAGTCAGAATGGGATTAAATTAAGATAAAAACACCAGATTTAAGCATTTATTACCTCAGTGAGAAAAGTTTATACGAAATAAATAAAATCTCCAAATTTTGCTAAAGAAGCAAGTATTGTTCAATCGAAGGGTCATCACACGACCAGACCCAGCCCTGGACTCTCCCCTGGACTCTCCTCTGGACTCACCCATGGACTCTCCCCAGGACCCACCCCTGGACTCTCCCCTGGACTCTCCTCTGGACTCACCCCTGGACTCTCCCCTGGACTCTCCTCTGGACTCACCCCTGGACTCTCCCCTGGACTCGCCCCTGGACTCTCCCCTGGACTCTCCTCTGGACTCTCCTCTGGACTCTCCCCGGGACCCACCCCTGGACTCTCCCCTGGACTCTCCTCTGGACTCACCCCTGGACTCTCCCCTGGACCCACCCCTGGACTCTCCCCTGGACCCACCCCTGGACTCTCCCCTGGACTCTCCCCTGGACCCACCCCTGGACTCTCCCCTGGACTCTCCTCTGGACTCCCGCCTTAATTTTTACAGTCTATGGCCTGGACCTACCCTTGGACTCTCCCCTGGACTCACTCCTGGACTCTCCTCTGGACCCACCCCTGGACCCAACCTTGGACTCACCCCTAGACCCAGCCCTGGACCCTCCCTGGGCCGATGCCTTAATATTCAGTCTATGGCCTGGACTCACCTCTGTACTCACCCCTGGACTCCCCCCTCCCATCGATCATACACATTCATCTGATAGAAAGCCCGTTACAGATCTCAGTATGGATCTATGCTTGCGTCCTTTTCCCTTGTGTCAGATTTGATGTTTTATAACAAAATCACGGTGTATTTTGCAGGAGTGAAAAGTCTGGTGCGAACAAAAATTGGGACAGGAAGATATCAAGATGTCCAGAGAGCTGCTTAAATGCTAACAGAGACGACAGCAGCGCTTCCTGGTTAGATAATAGTCTGTCAGACGCTGCCATGTGGCCTTCGGCAAGAAGCGACAAACAAACTTGTGTAGTGCCACTTTCTTTTTCTCAGATATGAACGAGAGCAGAAGGAAGCAGGGATCAGGAAGTCATCTTTGAGAAACCAGTAAGTACATCTGTGTCATGTTAGTGCCATATGAACCAACTCTGAGGAGTACAGGGACTGGGCTACTACTGGGACTCTGAGGAGCACAGGGACTGGACTCCTGCTGGGACTCTGAGGAGCACAGGGACTGGTCTACTACTGGGACTCTGAGGAGCACGGGGACTGGGCTACTGCTGGGACTCTGAGGAGCACAGACTTGACTCCTGCTGGGACTCTGAGGAGCACAGACTTGACTCCTGCTGGGACTCTGAGGAGCACGGGGACTGGGCTACTACTGGGACTCTGAGGAGCACAGGGACTGGGCTACTGCTGGGACTCTGAGGAGCACAGGGACTAGACTCCTGCTGGGACTCTGAGGAGCACAGGGACTAGACTCCTGCTAGGACTCTGAGGAGCACAGGGACTGGACTCCTGCTGGGACTATGAGGAGCACAGGGACTTGACTCCTGCTGGGGTCTGAGGAGCACACCGCGGTAAAGTGGCCCGCATCTTTCAGCTCTATGAACATGCGGGCCGCATCGGGGAAAAGACGGTGCGCGTTTTGTTGAGAACTTACGGTAACAGCGGAACGTCCTTTCGGAGTCACCCATTTTTATCGAACAGAAAGCGCGCTGGGGTCAGGGAGACACGTTTTTGTGATTTAAACCTTATAGAGATGACACATAGCACCAGCCCCCTACGATTCCTCCGGCAGATTGTGAGTCCTCAGGAGGATAGCCACTCTATTGTTTACATATATAAAGTACACAATTTGGTCCGCTAGTGCAAATTTTCAAGTATTGTAACTATTTACTGGAATAAGGTGTGCGACTAATTTCACTTGACTCATGAGCTTATTATTGCCCTCTACCACTGTACCAAAGACCAGAAACTTTTACTGTAGAAATATTGAGAAATATTGAGGTAAAGTAGCCATTTTGGTCCAAAATACCTCCAAAATAGTCAAAACATGTCACTTTTGATCTACTGTAACTTTTTACTGTAAAAAGGTGTGCGACTAATTTCACTGGATTCATGACCTCAACATTGCCCTCTACCACTGTACCAAAGACCAGAAACTTTTACTGTAGAAATTTGGAGAAATATGGAGTTAAAGTAGCCATTTTGGTCCAAAATAGCCTAAAAATGGTCAAAACATGTCACTTTTGATCTACTGTAACTTTTTACTGTAAAAAGGTGTGCGACTAATTTCACTGGATTCATGACCTCATGATTGCCCTCTACCACTGTACCAAAGACCAGAACTTTTACTGTAGAAATATTGAGAAATATTGAGTTAAAGTAGCCATTTTGGTCCAAAATAGCCTAAAAATGGTCAAAACATGTCACTTTTGATCTACTGTAACTTTTCACTGTAAAAAGGTGTGCGACTAATTTCACTGGATTCATGACCTCATGATTGCCCTCTACCACTGTACCAAAGACCAGGAACTTTTACTGTAGAAATATTGAGAAATATTGATTTAAAGTAGCCATTTTGGTCCAAAATAGCCTAAAAAAATGGTCAAAACATGTCACTTTTGAATCTACTGTAACTTTTTACTGTAAAAAGGTGTGCGACTAATTTCACTGGATTCATGACCTCATGATTGCCCTCTACCACTGTACCAAAGACCAGGAACTTTTACTGTAGAAATCTGGAGAAATATGGAGTTAAAGTAGCCATTTTGGTCCAAAATAGCCTAAAAATGGTCAAAACATGTCACTTTTGATCTACTGTAACTTATTACTGTAAAAAAGGTGTGCGACTAATTTCACTGGATTCATGACCTCATTGATTGCCCTTACCACTGTACCAAAGAAGTAGTCATTTGATTTCCAAAATCAGCCAAAAAAATGGTCAAAACATGTCACGTTTGATCTACTGTATCTTCTTACTGTAAAAAGGTGTGCGACTAATTTCACTGGATTCATGACCTCAACATTGCCCTCTACCACTGTACCAAAGACCAGAACTTTTACTGTAGAAATATTGAGAAATATTGATTTAAAGTAGTCATTTTGGTCCAAAATAGCCCAAAATAGTCAAAACATGTCACTTTTGATCTACTGTATCTTCTTACTGTAAAAAGGTGTGCGACTAATTTCACTGGATTCATGACCTCAACATTGCCCTCTACCACTGTACCAAAGACCAGACACTTTTACTGTATAAATTATGAGAAATATTGATTTAAAGTAGCCATTTTGGTCCAAAATAGCCTAAAAATGGTCAAAACATGTCACTTTTGATCTACTGTAACTTTTTATTGTAAAAAGGTGTGCGACTAATTTCACTGGATTCACGACCTCATGATTGCCCTCTACCACTGTACCCAAGAGCAGGAACTTTTACTGTAGAAATCTGGAGAAATATGGAGTTATAAGTAGCCATTTTGGACCAAAATGGCTACTTTACCTCAATATTTCTCAATATTTCTACAGTAAAAGTGTCTGGTCTTTGGTACAGTGGTAGAGGGCAATCATGAGGTCATGAATCCAGTGAAATTAGTCGCACACCTTTTTACAGTGAAAAGTTACAGTAGATCAAAAGTGACATGTTTTGACCATTTTTAGGCTATTTTGGACCCAAATGGCTACTTTAACTCCATATTTCTCCAAATTTCTACAGTAAAAGTTCCTGGTCTTTGGTACAGTGGTAGAGGGCAATGTTGAGGTCATGAATCCAGTGAAATTAGTCGCACACCTTTTTACAGTAAGAAGATACAGTAGATCAAAAATGACATGTTTTGACTATTTTGGAGGTATTTTGGACCAAAATGGCTTCTTTAAATCAGTATTTCTCAAAATTTCTACAGTAAATGTTTCTTGTCTTTGGTACAGTAGTAGAGGGCAATGTTGAGGTCATGAATCCAGTGAAATTAGTCTCACACCTTTTTACAGTAAAAAAGTTACAGTAGATCAGCCATTCCCAAACTCAGTAACACCGAGGCCCCCTTAAAAATCTGACGGGTCTGCGTGGCCCCCCAAAATAATAACCAAGAAGACAACATTAAGAATAGGCTCTTCTGGTTATTTTATTTTGGGGAAATAGCCTCTGCTACAAACATTGTAATACAAAAATGATTACAGTGGATTATTCAAGTCAAATAATGAACACAAATATTTTAATATTACAAACAAAACATTATAAATTTAACATTAAATAATTATATTATTTTTTTATTTTTTTTATGACCTCCCGCGGCCCCCCTGCAGTACCCTCGCGGCCCACCAGGGGCCGCGGACCCCACTTTGGGAGACACTGCAGTAGATCAAAGGTGGGAATTTTCTTAGTTTTGTGTATTTTGGACTAAAACGTGTAATTTGTCTCAATTTTACCCACAATTTCCAAAGTAAAGGTTTGTGGTTGTAGGCACAGCGGTGAAGGCAGTGGTGAGGTCATACACCCAGTGGAATAAGATACTCAAGTCTTTACTGTAAAAATGGACAGCAGCTGAAAATTTCACTTTTTGACCAAATTAAATGTCGAACATTTTAAGTTTTTACATGCTTTTCCAAATAAGGGTTTATTCACAAAACGAGTCTCCTAAGCGCGCTTTCTGTTCGAGGAGAAAAGCTGACTGCGAAAGGCTGTTCTGCTATTACCGTAAGCAGTCAACAAAACGCGCACTGCTTTTCTCTCGATGCGGGCCGTTTTACTTCGGAGGTGAAAGATGCGGCCCACTTTACCGCGGTGAGGAGCACGGGGACTGTACCCATGTTTTTAGTGGTAGGGTAAACAGGAGCACCTGGAGGAAACCTACTCAGACACGGAGAACATGTAAACTCCACTCAGAAAGACCCTGTTCTGACCGGGATTCGAACTCAGGACCCTTGCATTTTTGGGATAAACAAGTTGAACAGTCCTGGTGTATTATAGTTATTGAAGTAGCAGGAGCGATCGTCTCTGTGCGCGCTCCCGTCCGTGCACGCCAATATGAGTGCATATTGAGTGGGACGTGTCCAGACGCGCTCTCACACGCATGGCCGACTTGATGGATCTGTTCGGTTTCACGTCTTCATTATCTCTGAGCGGATTCCCTCCGGTCGCTGCGCTTCACCAGTGACGCGTCTGATTGGCTGATCAACTGTTATTAAAGGGAATGGACTCAAAGTCGATATTTGTCAATTAGCGTTTGGACAAGTCAATAACAGAGAAGACGGGACTCGAGGAGAAGAATCTGAGAGCCGCAAGATACAGCACAGAACAGAGTTAGATATAGATGCTCAGCTCATTCATTTCAATGGGAAAAAAAACATACGCATTTTTATATTTATTAACGAAAAACTGGGTTCTAGAAAACAATTTTAACTGATTACATAGTCTCAGTCCTGGGTCTACAGCCTCACCCCTGGGTCTACATCCTCAGTCCTGGGTCTACACAGTCTCAGTCCTGGATCTACAGCCTCAGTCCTGGGTCTACAATCTGAGTCCTGGTCTATACAGTTTCAGTCCTGGATCTACAGCCTCAGTCCTGGGTCTACAGCCTCAGTCCTGGGTCTACAGCCTCAGTCCTAGGTCTACATCCTCAGTCCTGGGTCTACACAGTCTCAGTCCTGGATCTACAGTCTCAGTCCTGGATCTACAGCATCAGTCCTGGGTCTACAATCTGAGTCCTGGTCTATACAGTTTCAGTCCTGGATCTACAGCCTCAGTCCTGGGTCTACAGCCTCAGTCCTGGGTCTACAGCCTCAGTCCTGGGTCTACATCCTCAGTCCTGGGTCTACATCCTCAGTCAGGGTCTAAGGACAGTGGTGATTCAGGACCTTTCTGCACATTGATTAACGTTTCTGGACAGTGGTCATACCGCTCCCTATTTCATAAACTGCAATGTGCTATATAATTAAAGCGCACTGGGTTGTACTGGATTTGCACCAATGGCTCCTCTGTGTTTGTTATTATTTCCGGTTTGAACTCATTGATTCTCTTGTTGTTGGTGGACTGCAGCTGTGATTCATGTTGACGCACAAACACATTAAATTGAACCACGTAAATGTTGCGTCTCGCTAATTAAAACCGGTCAGATACCGCCCTCCAGTGGGAAAAAATAAGAGTTGCAAATCTTGGCCAATCTACAACAATTCTTTAAAGCTATGTATAATGACAGAAAAGTAGCACGTTTATTTATGTATGATATTATTTGCAGACGTGTCCTCTCATATTTGATTATATAACAACAGAATCAGACGCTGTATAAGCAGCAGGGTCCTTTCACTGCGTAGAAACAGCGCCCTCTGCCGGCTGTTCTGGGAAGTGCAGCAGACGTCAGCGAGTTGACGTCAAAGATCTGACGTCACATACACAACACTGTACTATCTAAATCTGAATCCCAGAAGAAGCAATATTAAAATAGAAGTGTCAGGTGGACTTTGAAGTTTTAGTACATATTTGTTTTCAGAATAGAAGTTAAAACAGCTAAAGGCCTCAATTCTCAACAGCTGATTTTCACTCCATGCTTTAGTAAGACGTCATTTCACTTCAATAATCCACACTGTTTCTTTGGTTTTGATCATACAGTAACAGATCATGCTTATCTGTTATTTTTTTTACTATAGTTATTTAAACCCAGGACCCAAGAAAAAGTTAAAGAAAAACATCCTCATAGAATATTCACATTTTGTTACACATTTCCTCTGATGTTTTGCACTTATTACAGTCTGAAGCTGTTTTATTATAAGTTAGTTGTATAAAAAAAAAAAAATGTCTGAGAATTAGGGACAAACATCTCCCAGAGCTGAGCTGGAGCCAGAGGGGGCCGGACCACATGGTGTAGTCCTTTCATTGAAATATCTGCTCCCTGAAGTGCCACCAGAGGGAGCAGCGTCTGCAGTCAAAGCTCCCTAAAACTCCCTATAGTGCCACCAGAAGGAGCAGTGTCTGCAGTCAAAGCTCCCTAAAACTCCCTATAGTGCCACCAGAAGGAGCAGTGTCTGCAGTCAAAGCTCCCTAAAACTCCCTATAGTGCCACCAGAAGGAGCAGCGTCTGCAGTCAAAGCTCCCCATAACTCCCTATAGTGCCACCAGAAGGAGGAGTAGAAATCAAAATCAAAATGTACTCTCCAAACAGTACATTTTGTTTGGAGAGTACAAGAAAGTTCTTGAGCTGCGCAGACAGAGACAGTAAAGATCGTAAAGAAAGTTCTTTCACGTCAGAAAACTAAAACAGGTGACTGGTGTGTCCGTTAATTGTGTACCAACGAGGACTGTATGTTAAGTTGTGTATCTGTGAGTTATGTACCCATGAGTTGTGTACCTGTGAGTTATGCACTTGTCAGTTGCGTACCTGTGAGTTATGCACCTGTGAGTTGTGTACCTGTGAGTTATGCACCTGTGAGTTGTGTAGTTGTGAGTTATGTACCTGTGAGTAGCGTACCCATGAGTTGCGTACCTGTGAGTTGTGTACCTGTGAGTTATGAACCTGTGAGTTGCGTACCCATGAGTTGCGTACCTGTGAGTTGCGTACCTGTGAGTTATGCACCCGCTCCTGCCCCTGGTCCCGGTCTCAGTCCGGTCCCTGTGAGTCCCTGGTCTGGCAGTAATTGAAGTCATTTCTACCTCAGCTGTGATGGATGTGAGCGCGGCCGTGCCCTTCCCTCCCGTCGGCCTAATTAAAGAAAACCTTCTATGATTGGCTGCTGCTCCTGGAGCGTGACAGACTATTATTCTGCCCAACACCTGATTACCGCCTTATTATGCTTAGATTTAGATTGATTTAAGCTCGGGCGGATTCAGAGAGCTGCAGGTTGAACCCGTCACGGTGTGGAGCCGCTATTACAGCTTCATGATGGGAGCAGCGCGTTCGGGCCGCGGCTCTAATAGAATTAGAAATGGAGAAGGTCAGATGGCGGCAGCAGGTGACAGTGCGGGCTGATGGAGCGGCGGCGGAGCGCGGCGTCTGTCTGGAGTCATAACGCGGCCTCGCCACTGGCCGCAGACTGACGCGCTTCTGTCACAGAGAGATGGAGGTCTCTGTGCCACGAGACGGAGACTGAAGAGACGGAGACTGAGACTCGTAGACCCTGTGAAGCCCTACAAGACCCTATGAGACAACATATGAGACATATACGAGACCCTTGGAGACCCTACGAGGTCCAACCAGCCCCTACTAGACCCTACGAGGCCCAACCTGCCCCTACTAGACCCTACGAGACCCTACAAGACTCTACTAGACCCTAAGACTCTGCTAGACCCTACGAGGCCTGCAAGACTCCACTAGACCCTACAAGACTCTACTAGAACCTAAGACTCTACTAGACCCTACGAGGCCCTACAAGACTCCACTAGACCCTACGAGGCCCTACAAGACTTTACTAGACCCTACAAGACCCTACTAGACCCTACAAGACTCTACTAGACCCTACAAGACTCTACTAGACCCTACAAGACTCTACTAGACCCTGCAAGACTCTACTAGACCCTACAAGACCCTACTAGACCCTACAAGACTCTACTAGACCCTACAAGACCCAATGAAACCCAATGAGCCCCTACAAGACCCTATGAGGCCATTTGAGACCCTACCAGCCTGAAACAGTCGGCTGGTTGCTGTTAATCAAAATGTTCTGATATGACGTAGACCCCGCTCTTCTTTACTCTACCTGGTTGCATTTCCATGACACTTTAGTATCTGGTACCGTCTCGAAGCAACCGACAAGCAACCAACCAGTACCCGGGGAATTACGTACCTTGATAACTATACAGAACTCACCAGTATTTGGATTCAGTGAAAGTTATTCTGTTTGAAACTAAACTTCTTCTTTACAAACAGCTCTCCAGTTCTTTTCTGTGAACTCATAAATAAGTATCGGTCGGCATCTGGCAGTCAGTAGGCGGCGCTCTCTCGGCCCGACACTTCCCCTTTAATGACGGCCTTCACCGCACAGAGCCCTGATTGAAGCCGGAAATGGCAGCAGCTTTAAGTGGATTGTGCTTTTTGTTCCTGCAGATCCAATTGTAACCCTACTCTGCTTAAAGAGCCCATTAGGCAACAATCAGCGGATCCGTAGAAAGGCCAGTAATGACACCTCATTTTGGGACATTTATGTGTTCTTAAGGCAAATGAGTGTCCAGGCCGCGGCCCCTGAGTGCCTCTCGCTCCTCATAACTCCTCGTGTCTCCTCCTGACTCCTCCCTAACCCGATTGGAGGCGGCTCAGTGTTTAATGTGGGAGAGCCATTAGCTAACTGTTTCATATGGACCTTTCTATGTGTCTGAATTAAAGATTAAACAAAATTATGGATAAATAATTATAGAGTTTGTTGCTTCTTTGTTATGCTAAAGTGAGACGTTTTATACTTCATTCTCTTCTTGACTAAAGTTAGAGATTTGATTTAACTGGTGATACAACACTGAAATTTCCCCACTGTGGATCGAACAAAGGATCTCTTCATCTGAAATGGAGTGTGCGAACCAAAAATATACACACACACAAATACACGCACATACACATAAACACACACACAAAGGCAGATGAGGGAGGAGAGCAAGGAGAAGGAAGTAAGGATGGGGCGGTGAGGAGAGGAGTGGCAGGGTAGAGGAGGAGAGGGAGGTGAGGGAAGAGAAGGAGGAGAGGAGAAGGAGGTGAGGAGTGGTAGGTGAGGGAAGAGAAGGAGGTGGGGAGAGGGAGGTGAGGAGTGGTAGGTGAGGGAAGAGAAGGAGGAGAGGAGAAGGAGGTGAGGAGTGGTAGGTGAGGGAAGAGAAGGAGGTGGGGAGAGGGAGGTGAGGGAGGAGAAGGAGGTGAGGAGAGGAGAGGGAGGAGAAAGAGGTGAGGAGAGGGAGGAGAAGGAGGTGAGGAGAGGAGAAGTAGGTGAGGAGAGGGAGGTGAGGGAGGAGAAGGAGGTGAGGAGAGGTAGGTGGAGGGAGGAGAAGGAGGTGAGGAGAGGGAAGAGAGAGAGAAGGAGGCAAGGGAGGAGGAGGGAGGTGACGTAGGAGAAGTAGGTGAGGAGAGGGAGAAGAAGGAGGTGAGGAGAGGGAGGTGACGTAGGAGAAGTAGGTGAGGAGAGGGAGAAGAAGGAGGTGAGGAGAGGGAGGTGAGGGAGGAGAAGGCGGTGAGGAGACAGAGGTGAGGGAAGAGAAAGAGGTGAGGGAGGAGAGGGAGGTGAGGGAGGAGAGGGAGGTAGGAGGTGAGGGAAGGAAGGTGAGGGAGGGAGGAGAGGGGAGAGGTGAAAAGAGGGAGGTGAAAGATGTGAGGGAGGGGAGGTGAAGTGATGGCGGAGGAGAGAGGGAGGTGAGGGAGGAGAAGGAGGAAATGTTGACAAATGTCACATTTAAGCTACACATGACTTAATCCTTCACTTTCATAGTTTTGTAAAAGTGAAATGTTTTGAACAAACCAGACTCAACTTTGTCTACGTCTCAGTAAAGACACAAACACAGATTTTTTTCTTAAATTTTCCTGATTTTAAAAAACAAGAGATAAAGGTCTGGTGACACTCAGATGAGTTAGTTGAGAGCTAATTAGTCTATGCTAATGCTAACGCTAACGCTAACCCTCACCACATGGGAAAGTCTCAGTTCGTAGTTAGATCGATTTAGACTAAGGACTAATAAGTGCTTAATAAATACCAATTAAGAGGTAAATAACCATAAACTAAACAATAATTAGCTTTTTATTAATGAGGACTAAGCTAAAAGATTTTATATTTTAATTTTTTGTATATTGGCTTATGTTGGCTCTACTCTACTCTACTCTACTCTACCCTATACTTACTCTACTCTACTCTACTCTACTCTACTCTACTCTATATTTACTCTACTCTACTCTACTCTACTCTACTCTATACTTACTCTACTCAACTCTACTCTATACTTACTCTACTCTACTCTACTCTACTCTATACTTACTCTACTCTACTCTATATTTACTCTACTCTACTCTACTCTACTCTACACTATACTTACTCTACTCTACTCTACTCTACTCTACTCTACTCTACTCTACTCTACTCTACTCTACTCTATATTTACTCTACTCTACTCTACTCTACACTATACTTACTCTACTCTACTCTACTCTATACTTACTCTACTCTACTCTACTCTACTCTATATTTACTCTACTCTACTCTACTCTACACTATACTTACTCTACTCTACTCTACTCTACTCTATATTTACTCTACTCTACTCTACTCTACACTATACTTACTCTACTCTACTCTACTCTTACTCTATATTTACTCTACTCTACTCTACACTACACTATACTTAATCTACTCTACTCTACTAAAAATAACAGTAAATCTGAGATAAAAAAAGAAATCCATAAAAATCTACCACAAAATAAAAACCAAACTCCTGTCTGTATCACTTTATGTCAGAGCAGTTAAATAAAAGCATTTGGAAATATCTTTTTAAAAAGAAACAGAAAATGTCGACACACACACACGCACACGCACACGCACACACACACACGCACATACACACACACACGCACACGTTATGTATTTATTTATTTTTTTTACTTAAAATTGAATAAAACTTAAACACTTTACTCTAAAATCATTCATATTTTTTTTCTCCTCGCACAGTTTTTAGTGGTTCTACAGAATTAATATTTTATTGTGTGATATAATAACATTTCATGAGTCTCGGCCTCTGATCACGTGACTTTTAAACTCGACCGTTTTTGCTTAACGTGTAAGTGTTGTTTTAAATACCTGTATCTGTAACTCTGGGCCAACACAGCTGTATTTATATCATTTTGAAATATTTATAGAATTTACAAATATATTAAGACTGTAAATGTAAAAAAAACTGTATTTGTGTTATTTCTGTAGTGTTAATGTCAGATTATTTATAAAGCACAGTTCAAACACAACCAAAGTGCTTAAAACAGACACAAAAAACCCCATTTAAAATCATAAATAATCACAGTGTATTAAGAATGACAGCTGTTTTTAACCTGGGTTTGAACATTCTCAGCGTATAAGCCTGTCTCACATTTTCAGGAAGACTGTTCAATCTCTAATGTGTAGCCCTGACTACGTTTCTGTGATTTTAATTTAGGTTTTGTATTTCTGTGTCAGTTTTAACCTCGTGTGTGTGTCGTTCGGAGTTTGAGGCTGGAGTGGATGCAGTACCGGTCGCGGCCGCTGCAGGGCGCTCAGATGCTGTGTAATGTGGATCTGTAGCTGTGCACAAACGTTCCCGTGACTTTTGCACATTCATTTCACCACAGAGACGCACTCAGCAACACAGCAGATCATAGTTTAATTTTGATTTCAATTTTAAAACAATTTATTTTCACCCATCTCCCCTGTTTTTAATAAATATATAATTAATCCTATATTATACAATCGTGTGATATACGCTTTCTGCAATTAAAAACACATCACTGCAAATGCGTTTTTCTACTTCTCTAGTTTCAACCAGTTTTAAAAAATGTATTGAATTTAAACTAATTTGAATGTTTTTAGATTGTTTTTTTTTTAGGCGTGTGAATTCTGTCAACAGCTGATCTCCTCTGGATTAACTGA